GCCCGGCCCTAAAGGGATGGCCGGGGCAGCGGCAACACGGCTGTGGGAGGAGGTTTCGGGGAGGGCGGGGGCGGCGAGGCTGCGCAGTAGCGCCGCCGGCAGCAGGCGGTGGTGGCCAACGGTTCGGCCGATGGTTCGTGGGGCGGTTGGAAGAAGATGCATCCAGAGTTGGAAGACGACTTTGCAATCGTTAGATCGGAGATCAAGGATGAAGAACAGCGATTGGCCCAAATTGGGAATTCAGTCGACTGGCACCCAGCCAGTCCCTTTTTGGTATGCAATGGCTCATCACAACAGAGTGGATGATGCATTGGATTTTCAATCGACAACTACAGGTAGCCTGCGATAGTGGTGGATTTTCTCTAGCCTCGGCGGCAGCAGTCCAACAACAGATTCACCAACTGAGTTTCGATTAGCGGTCCTACCATGTATATAAAGATGATAGAGTAACAACCAGATTCAAACTGCGGCTAATAATTGATCAAAGATGATAGAGTAACAACCAGATTCAAACTGCGGCTAATAATTGATCAAAGATGATAGAGTAACTTCTAAATCACTTCAACGGGTGCACATGACTTTCCGATTCAAACTGCGGCTAATAATTGATCAAAGATGATAGAGTAACAACCAGATTGATCCGAATTCAATAACTGTCAGAGAAATTTAACTATATATACAAGAGATTGGAAGGACCTTGCAAGCCCACTCCCCCAACACCTGAATACTCTGTGCACATCAGCAGTGTACCTTGGTGATTTTACAAGTGGACATCCTCTTTGCAATCAGGTTTGCAGGTCACAGCCATGTTCGTGGCCATTAACCGGCCTGATTTAAAGCCGCGCCCTACAGCTACCGCGTCATCGGTTTGAGACACTTCATGGAGTTTTGCTGCACAATTACCACGTGTGCTCATCAAAAGCTTAGTAATAGTCATTGCTAGGAACATTAGAATTTGATAAATTGCATGATAGTTGGCATGAGAAAAAGATAAGCATGTTACATTGTGACTTGTGAGTGAACTGCTTGGCCGCCTTTGTGGTTCAGGGCTGAATGTATGTTGGCATATCCAGGTTTTCCTCGTGTGAAGCGGCTAGCAGATCATTCTACATCCCTCAACTTAGAGGGCTGCTATGCAAGCGATAAACACGACAGACATGCTGCGGCCACCATCAGATGCAGTGAGCGAGCACTTGTACTCCGCTGGATTGCAGCGTCATCTGCATGTAAGATTATTGGAAAGCGTTAAACCCTTTGCTCGGGCCGCATTTGTATTTATATGGGCATTGCCGTGGCATACAAGAAGAAAACGATCGACAGATTGATCGGTAGAGTTTGGAACAGAAGAAGAGATAGAAAGGAGATACAGGTTTAAACAGGAGAAGTTCTCTCTCTATACAACTCTATCTCTATACAAATATTCCAACACTCCCCCTCAATCTAAACCTATGCTATTCCAAGGTTGAGATTGAACTTAAACTCATCAGGTCTCCTCATAGTGAGAGGTTTTGTAAAACCATCAGCCAGTTAATCACCAGTGGATATAAACTGTATGTCAAGCAGTTTGCGAGCTACTCTTTCTCTGACGAAGTGAAAATCAACCTCAATATGTTTAGTACGTGCATGAAAAACAGGATTAGCTGAAAGATAGGTTACACCAATATTATCACAACATAATCTTGCAGCTTGTGGAGTCTTAATTCCGAGCTCATAAAGCAATGTTTGAATCCACATGACTTCAGCTGTGGCATTTGCTAGAGCCTTATACTCTGCCTCAGTACTTGACCTTGAAACTGTAGCCTGTTTCCTTGCACTCCATGATATAAGATTTGTTCCCAGAAAAACAGCAAATCCACCTGTAGACCTTCTATCATCAGGACATCCTGCCCAATCTGCATCTGAATAAGCAGTCACAAGCATAGACGAAGACTTGACAATTCTCAGTCCAAGTCCTTCTGGGAACTTCAGATACCTTACAATTCTTTTAACTGCAGTCCAATGAGTGGTAGTAGGTGCATGCAAATATTGACACACTTTGTTCACAGAGTAAGAAATATCAGGACGTGTAAGAGTTAAATATTGTAATGCACCCACAACACTTCTATAGTTTGTTGCATCCTCAGGTCCAAGTGCTTCTCCACTATCGACTATGAGTTTTTCTGAGGTTGAGATTGGTGTACTTACAGGTTTGCAGTTTTCCAACCCTACTCTCCTGAGTATGTCATGAGCATATTTCTCTTGTGAAAGAAGTATACCATCTTTTATCTGTTTGACCTCTATGCCAAGGAAATA